CTTTCTTTCTTTCTTTCTTTCTTTCTTTCTTTCTTTCTTTCTTTCTTTCTTTCTATCCTCTCCTCTCTGCATACCAACTCTTGCCTATCCTTCCTTCTACCTCGCTATTGGCCATCCGGTTCTTCATTAGACCCCCGGGTGTTCTAGACAGTCAAAGTATCACAGTTTCACAGATTTAAACAAATGCAGCATAAACAAAAATAACACACCTTAACATAATATTCCTGTAAAGTTCTGTACCCCGATAAGCCTCTCCGCTGACACAATAATCCAAATCAGACCAAATCAAACTAAATTAGAAAAAGGCCCAGGTTTAATGGATACAAACACTCCCAGATGGCTTTCCAGCTCCCCAGAGAGTAGATGGAAAAAGAAGACCAGAAAACCACGTGTTTGTTCTCTTGGGGCAGTACCCTTTGGAGTGGTCTTGAGCATCTCTGGGGAGGGTTCATATCCTTTGGCCGGCTTTCTCAGGAACTGAGTCTGAACTGAGGCAGCTCTGATGGTGGTGGTGGGAGTCTTGTATTGGAACTTCCATCCAAACATTTCAGACTCTTTGGATATATGTATGCCAGGGGCTGAAGTGACACCTTCACCCAAACAATTTCCCAACACATTTGTTCTACAAGAGAATGATTTTTCAGAACTGCAGTCTGTGGGGAAGCCTTTCAAAGGAGCTGCTTAAGTGAGAAGTATAGTAAAAACGCACTCTCAGGAGTAAATAGTTTAGCAGAGACTCACAAACTCAGGAGTAAATAACATAGCAAAGGCTTACACTGTGAAGAGTAGATAGTAGACATAGACACTCAGGAGTAAATAGTGTAGCAGACACTCACACTCACCTGGCATGTCTCATTTATCCCTTTAATTTTAAACACTATTTATTTGAAAGTTTAAAAAAGTTCCCATGTGAAAATTAACAAGACCTGAAAACTACAGTGTTGTGGAATATTATTTTAACTAGGCAAAGATGTGTGTTCATTTGTTTTTGCTGTAGAATATTACTTTAATTGTAAAGATGTGTTACATTTGTTTCTGCTGCCTTTATTAGCAATGCAAAGATGGGTTGCATTTGTTTCACCTGATCTGCCTAAGGCACCTGATTGGCCTAATAAAAAGCTGTGGGACCAATAGCTAGGCAGGAGGGAGATGGGAGGGGCACTAGACAGAATAAATAGGAAGATAAATCTAGGATGGAGGAAAAGGAAAAGAACAACGAAGTGAGGGATGTACCCAGACAAGAAGACAGCCATGGAGACAGAAGGAAAGCAAGATATACAGGGGGGAAAAAAAAGGGTAAAGAGCCCCAAGGCAAAACGTAGATGAAGAGAAACCGATTGTTACAAGATCTAGCAAGAAACGATCCTAAGTGATGGCTGAGCATTCATAGCTATAAAGTCTTCATGTCATGATTTGGGAGCTGCTCGGTGGCCCAAGAGAAAGCCTGTTACACTACAGATATCGTGGACTTCTGTCCAGTTAGAATGGACATTCAGAAGAGATTCTGGGTCATTCACTGGCCAATAGAGGCAGGAGAAAACATTGGCAGGGCTGGCAGGCAGAGGGGATGAATAAAAAGAGAAATATGGGAGAAAAGGAGTCATTGGATTTTAAGACTGTCTGCTCTAGATATATTTCATTCACTGGTCCACATGAAATGTAAAATCCATGACAGAGATGGAACCCGAAGATCAGTTGTCAGTGTCCTCTTCCACAGCCCTCGTTCAATGTTAAACCCTAGTATTTAACGTGTATCATCTTTTCTAGTTTTCTACACACATAGACACGTCTTCACATATGCACTTATTTTACTGTCCACATTAAGCACAGGAGGGAGAAAATACAGTGTATTTCTTTATGTGATTGGGTGTTGTAGGATATTACTTTATGGTATGTTACTTTTTTATTTTGCGTTTGTTTAACCCTGTGAAGCTGTGTTGTTGTGTTCATCTAAAACACCTGATGGTCTTCTAGAGAACTGAATGGCCAATAGCAAGGCAGGAGAAAGAACAGGCAGGGCTGGCAGGCAGAGAGGATAAATAGAAGGAGAAATATGGGAGAAAAGAAGGAGTCAGAGAAGGAGGAGGACATCAGGGGCCACACAGCCAGCATGGAGTAGGAGTGAAAGTAAAATCACAAAAGTAAGAAAAGGAAAAGCCCAGAGGCAAAAGGTAGATGGATCATTTAAGGAAAGCAGGCAAGAACCAATTAAGCTAAGGTCAAGTATTTATCATTAATAAAATAATAAGACTGCATGCATGTATTTGGGAGCTAGGTACTGGGCCCCTCAAGGAGTAAAACAGCCAACAACAGTTTGGCATACCTATGTGGGCCCCGAATTTCCAAAGGGCCTAAGACAGTTTGGGAAAAACAAAAACAAAACCAGGATACAGCTCCTTTTCAGAGTTTCTACCTGCTGGCAAGACTTCCTGATGGAGGAGGGTCATCTGTCTATGTGTTACTTTCATTGGTTAATAAAGAGACTGCCTTGGCCTTTTGGATAGGCCAGCCCTTAGATAGGTGGAGTAGACAGAACAGAATGCTGGGAGAAAGAAACAGAGTCAGGGAGCCGCCACCATGAAGCTGCCAGGTCAGACATGCTGAATCTTTCCCGGTAAGCCACGACCTCGTGGTGACATACAGATTATTAGAAATGGGTTGAATCAATATGTAAGAGTTAGCCAATAAGAGGCTACAGATAACGAGCCAGGCAATGTTTCAAAGAATACAGTTTCCGTGTAATTATTTCGGGGGTAAGCTAGCTAGCTGGGATCCAGGTGGCGGGACGCAGCCCACCGCTCCTTCTACAACTTCCAGTATGTGGATTAGGAACAGAAAACTAAGTGAAAATGCCTTCCACAGCACAGGCATTGGCATTGTAGACCTCTGGGAAGGTCACAAACCTCCGACTGCACTGCGAGAATTAAGCATGGCTTGTGTGGTTCATGAAGAAGATCGAGACAGCCACCAAAGCCGCAGGCACACTGCTTAGCAGTTTCTTTTTTCTTTTCTTTTTTTTTTTTTTCATTTGGTCAAAAGGCTACGCAATGAAAGAGGTCCAGATGGAAAAACGTCTAAATAGATTCCAGTGTGTTTGCTTAAGAAAGAAAATGTGTACAGACAGTCACAGAAAGAAGTGAAAAAAAATAAAGTCTTTAAAGAGAGAAGTAAAATAATATGAAAGAAAAAAGCCACACAGCAAGTCTGGATTCTATATGTTTTTGTGCTGATTTTGAATTTTTTTGTTTTGATTGTTGAGAAGCAAACAGTAGCTGCTAAAAGGCATAGGATTGTGAACTGGACTGCAAAGTTGAACCAACTGAAATACCTTGGGGCTGTCTTAACTTTAAAAAAGAAATTTAAAAAATGTTTTTTCAAATGGAAATCAAAAATCCTTTGGAGTTTTGTTCCCACAGGAGATGAGAGGCTGTGGATTCCCTCAGGGTTAAGATTGATCAGGTTAATCTTGGCAGGTGATATCCATAAAGAGAGATTATAGCTGGTCTTTCTAGGACTTGGCCATTATCTCCAATTTTCTCTCTGGGACCCTAAAGATACTTTATCCATAGACAGCAGGTAGCAGTTTGGAGAAAACAGCATCCACATTCCCAAGATGTAGGGTATATGGATGGTCTTTGGTTATTTGGTAGGATATGGATGTCAGTTATCATTTAGGGGAATATAGTATATTGATAAAAATTTAAAGTTATTTTTTACACTGTTTAAATGTTTCTGCTCTTGTTTAAACTATTGTACCTATGCAGTCCATTGAAAACTGTAAAATTCTAGTTTTTGAAAGCTATAATTATAAACTATTTATGATAATCAAGAAACAGGTTAGTAGCAAATTTATATATATACACATACATATTAGGCATGTTTTCAAGATCATAAGAGATATATTTTAGATAGATAAATGGTTTTCAAACACTTAAAACACTTACAGATTATGGCATTTAAAATGTTTTGTTAACACAGGGTTTTTCATGACAAGGAGAAACATCTCCTGGCAGTACCAATTTACTTCCGAGACAATGGGCATTGAAGAAACTCCTTATGGAGTTTGCTTTCATTGTGGCAAGGTTAGCTGCTGGGCAAAGAAACTGCTCTTGCCTTTGACTGCTGACAATGTGCTGTGCAGACTGAACTCGCAGGACACAGAAGAAAGAGATTGTTAAACTTTGCCAAAACAAGATAGGCCAGTCCTTCAAAATTGCTGCTTCACAGAAGAGTCTGACAGACATTATGCAGGGCACAGAGGAAAGTGACGGATGAACTTTGCCAAAACAAGACAGTATAGTCCAACATTCCTGCTTCATAGAAAAGTCTGTGAGATACTTTAGGCCTGTAGGCTGAAGATGGAACCCCAACATTGCAGAGAAACTCTGGGTGACTGTCCAGGTGGCTAATGTCTCTGTTGTTAGATAATATCGCCTCCTTCTGGGTCTTTGATGGAGTTGAAGACTAGAAAGTTATAATTAAAGTTTTTCTTAGTTATGATAGAAACTAAATTCTGTATAAAACTTTGGATTCTCTAAGATAAAATAGATAATGGATTGTTTTCTCTGAATTTGCTAAATATAATTGGACTGAATATTGTAAATGTAATCTTACTTGATAACTGTTTTGTTGTATATAGTTATACTATGTTAGAGTTAAAACTTTTCTTTCTAGAAAAAGAAGAAAATGTTGTAGAATGTTACTCTAAGGTGTATTACTTTTGTCTGTGTTGTATTTGTTTAACTCTGTAAAAAATGTCTTACTGTGCCTGTCTAAGACCCCTGGTGGTCTAATAAAGAACTGAATGGCCAACAGTGAGGCAGGAGAAAAAATAGACAGGACTGTCAGACACAGAGTATAAATAGAAGGAAAAATCTGGGAGAAAAAAAAGGAGGAGCCAGAGAAGGAGGAAACACCTGGGGTCGGCCACCCAGCTCCACAGTCAGCCATGGGGTAGGAGTGAAAGTAAGATTATGGCAGAAGAAAAGGAAAAGCCCAGAGGGAAAAGGTAGATGGATAATTTAAGTTAAGAGAAGTTGACAGGACACAAGCCAAGCTAAGGCCAAGCATTTATAATTAAGAAAATAATAAGACTCCGTGTATGTATTTGGAAGCTGGGTAGCAGCCCCCGTAAAAGTGATACTACCAGCAATAATTGGGTGACCTCAACTGATACACATTTAACATCCATCCATTTTCCTGTAAATTTTGTGATTATAATTTTTTAGGGCTAAATAGCATACCCTCTGTGTGTGCGTCATAAACATATACATTTTTATTTACCGCCTTATTTTCTATTAATATGTTCTTGGACATCTGTGTCGGCTCAGGTTCTTTACAATTGAGAATAAAGAAGCAATAAACAATTATATCTATAGTGCGGTGTGCGGTTCCCTGAGCATAAGCCCAGGGCTGAAATAGTGGGGGCAGTGCAGAGACTACAGTTCTGGTTCCAGTGGCACAAGATTTTATGGGTGTGAGGTGCTGAATTGGGAGGTTCCAGTGGTCACTGCAGCACTCATAGCCTGTGCTGTTGTGGTCTCAGAGGCTATGTGTGTCTGTGACTCTAACCACATCCTGGAGATGGTAGACTGCACTGCATCTGACGTTTAGTACCTGCCTTCTGCAAGCATCCAAGGGGTGACCAAGGATTTGATTCCCTGTGGTCCCCTGACTGCCTAGTGAACAGCCAGACCAACATGCACAGACTTCTGATGTCACTGGAAGGAAATTCTGGTTGCAGGCTGCTCTCCTGTGGCTGTGAGGCTGGGCACCGTTTTATATGTTTGGACCTGTACAGCCTTGTTTCCACAGTTAACCTGAGGCCGCATGTAGTTATGGCGAGCTATGTACTCCAAGTTGGGCAAAATGGCTGGATGCATTATCTGTGTTTATGCAGATTCCTTTATACCAGGAGATAAACATTGGTACTCTTGGTTGGACTTAGGCAGCCTGTTAGCTGTTTTAATCACACAATGTCTACTTTGGATATTTGCTGATCTCCTTTTCTCTGTCTCAGAGTCAAGGCACTGACTCAGGACAGAAGATTAGGAGGACCCTTAGAGATGCACATTCTTAGGGCTGCTGTAGGGACACCAAACCCTGGATTCCACAGCTTATATTCCTATATATTTAAAATTAGCAATACTCCAAAAGGCATTGATTCTATGTATTTGAAAAGTGGAAACATAAACAAGAGTAGCCGGGTGTGTTGGGGTAGGAAGCAAGGCAGACCACAGTCACAGGACAGAGGAATCTCAAGGACAGAGGACAGAGGAATCTCAAGGACAGAGGGAATACCCTATCACAGTTACAGGAAGCAGGCTTGGCGACCCATTAGAAAGAACTGGCATTAGGGACAAGTGTGACTTCTTTAGCTGGAGAGCCGCACAGCTAAGGAGCCCCCCAGCACAGAAAAGTGGTCCCACACCCATAGTCACTGTGAGTTGGGAGCGGCCTCCCTGGCTCCGTAGTCTGCTGGATGATTAGGGTTTCAGGAGGGTAAAGAGGTGGAGGGTGACTGCTGGGATACTGCTGTCATGGCAGCTCCAGCTCAGGAACCTCCTGGACCCCACAGGCTGTCCTTTCTGGGTTTCCTCACCTCGGGCTGTGAGCACAGCAAATTTGCCTTGTATCCAGTCCATGCATCGGGCACTGGGCTCCTTTAATGTAACTGGAGACTTAATAAAGGTTCATCAAAGCCTGTTGACCTCATGAGTACTGGCTCTGATTCTAGGGACACTGTATTTCTACGGCACTGGTTTCAGAGTCAGGGCATATTATTTTGGTTCTGGGTTCAGGGATAAAAGTGTTACTTTCACTGAGTCAGGTCTCAGATCGAGGATGTGTTTCTTGAGTAAGGATATAATCTTTATATCCACACTTAACACATGATATAGTTCATACAGGATAGAAATTTGTTTTAAAACAAATGTTTTAAAAAGTTTACCTCCTCGACCCTTAAATCACATCAAATGATTCATTCTGACTACAAACTCCATGAGTGTGGGGATAGGTGGTAAAATTTTCCTAACAAATCAGATCTTCCTTTATTATAATTTTTTTTACATACACACCACAGTTTACCTTCCCTTCTTTCTCCCCACTTCCTTTCTATACCCCTCCATCTACTTAGAAAGGGTAAGGCCTCCCATGGGAGTCAGCAAAGCATAGTACATCAAGTTGAGGCAGGACCAAGCTCCTCCCCCTATATAAAGGCTGGGCGAGGTATCCTAGCAAGGGGTATAGGTTCCAAACAGCCAGCTCATGTGCTAGGGAAATATCCTGGCCCCGGGGCTAGGGTCACCACAAGCATATCAATCTACTTAACTGTCACCCACATGCAGATGGCCTAGGTCGGTCCCATGCAGGCTCTCTAAATGTCGGTCCAGGGTCTGTGAGCTCGCATGAACTGCAGTCATCTGTTTCTGTGGGTTTCACCATCCTGATCTTGATACCCCCACCACACCCACACACCAGAGACTTAGTTAAAACAGCACGAAGGCTCTTCCAGTCTAGGACCTCAGCCCCAAGGCAGCAGCGGTGGCTGCAGAGGTGCAGTCATCAGCTGAGGCTGCTTTAGTAGCAGTGCAGCTGCTGTGCCTGAGATAAAAGCAGCAGTGCCCACAGAGCAATAATGCAGGAAAGGTGTGGAGCAACCAATCATTTTCTGACTGTATACAAAGCTCATTCCATAAACAGTATCTGATGTGATGTTAATTTGGTGATAAACTTGTGCTTGGCCGGTGATAATTTAATGCCGTTATTCTAGTGAGTGAACAGTAACTAAATGAACCCAAGTTCTCAACTTTATACCCACAGTCAGGAACCTCTAAACCCTCTCTAGAAAATATTGTGTGGTAGGTGGAGAAGATTACACAGATGGAAAATGATCAAAGTGTAGAGAATATTCATCTGTGGGGGGCCCTAATCCAAAGGTGACACCTACATCACACATTGTAAGGGAGTTCCCTTACAAACTTCTAACTCTAAAAGTAAGGGATGCATGAGGGAGACGAGGTGGAAAGAACGTCCGAGTCAGATATAGTGAGTGTCTGCTAGAAACGTCAGTGCCATCTCATGCATGGACATGCTGTGGCTAATACTACCTGGACAACCCTATGCAGGCTAAACCCAGCCTTGCAACAAGCATGGCTGCATAAGGGCCTCGTTATGTCTCACCCTGAGTGGAGGGGCAATGGCTCCTGAGGGAAACAGTCAATCTGAGAGTCTTCCAGGGTCCGGTTGGCTGTCCTACACCCCACACATGGAGGGGGCACTAAGTGCAATGAAGAAACCAAGAAAGAAGAAGCTCACAAAGTTGGGAGAGTCACATGGTTTTAAGGTTTAGAATAAATGAAGGAATGTGGAGATTTGAATAAAACGTGCAATATACATGTATTAAATTCTTCTAAAGTAAGTGTAGTTTTAAAAACTTTGTTTTGATGTCCAAACTTAACCTGTTTTGGCAGGGACTACAGCACATGACTGACTGTCATAATGTTTCCAGAGGGTCAGCATCCTACTGGGAAGGCCTCACGAGGGAGAGAGGGAGAGGACTCTCAGAAGGGCTCAGATGCTGAGGACTGAGGGGCCCTGCATCAGTGTAACCTCAGGGAAGAGACAGATGGCTTTGCAGACATAAGATGGGGCCAGGTTCACCTTGTATCTTCCACATGGCTTTGAGTACAACAGAGAAACAATGAACAGTGGTTTTTCCCACCTTCCTTTCCCTCTCTTACATCCATAGTGATCATAGTGCTGTAGGAAGTCTAACAGCCAGTGATAACCCGCCCACTGGGGTGTGGCCTCTTATACCATATATGCTGATGCAGAGCATGTGTCCGGTCTCTTTTCCTGCCTCTCCCTCTGTTCCAGTTCCAGATTTCGGTTTCTGATCTCTGTTTCAGCAGAGGATTCTGATTTGTGACTTTACCCCTAAATAAATAACCATCTATTTCTCAATTCTGAGCTACTGTGGGATTTCTTTTAAGCGACCGTCTTCAATCATCATTGCTTTAGTTACTGGTTATCTATCAAGAAATTTAGGAAACCACTATAAAAACCAAATAAACCTGGTAGGTAAAATGTTTAAATAAGACAAGCATCACATACCTTCTATCAATGAGATTTATAAATATCAGTTTATTAACATGAAAATGTCATGCACATTAGAGAAACCACAGAGAAATGAATGAAACTCTAGATTACATCACAACAAAACAGTCTAAGCTTCAGGCCTTAAATTCCATCCTAGTCAATAAAAAAGAAGCACTGGTGTGTGGACACATTCTGTTTTTTAGAATGTTTATGATATGGCCAGCAGTGCATCTTGAGCACAGTTACACTTTCTTGTCAGGACCTCCAACCTGCAAATAGTGACATGGAGACTTACTATTCATTACGAAAGCTTGGCCTTAGCTTAGGCTTGTTCCTAACTAACTCTTAGACTTACATTAGCCAATGTTTTAAAGCCAGTGTTCTTCCACATGGCTCATGACTTCATTTCTGTATTGCCTGCCCATCCTGCTTCCTCCGTGCCTTCTCCCGGAATTCTTTCTGTGTGTGGAAGACCCGTTTATCCTCTCCTGCCTAGCTGCTGGCCATGCTATTCAGTTTCTTGTTCCACCAATCAGAGCAATGCAACTTCACACAGGGTACATATGCCCACAACAATCAGGTTTGCTATGGGTATGCGAGCCAATGTTTTCTTCTGCTTGACGTCTCTGCAGACCTAGGTATTAATTTCCTTAGATCACAGAGGGAGGTTTATTTCCTTATGAATGGAAATAGCCTTAATGGATATACATTTGTTCTACAGGAAAATGGTTATTTCAGAGCTGCAGTCTGGGGTGGAAGCTTCTCAAGGGATCAACTTAAGTGGGAATATAGCAGAGACACTCTCAGGAGTAGATAGTATAGCAAAGACTCACAAGCTCAGGAGTAAATACAGCAAAGGCTCACACTGTCAGGGAATAGTAAAGCAGAGACATACTGAGAAGTTAACAGCATAGGAGAGACTCATAATCACAGGTTCCATTGCTCATGTCTTTCTCTCATTAATTTTAAACCCATTATTTAAAATTTTTAAAGTAAAACTAATGCGAAAATTAACAAGACTTGAAACTGCAGAGCTCATAAATGTCTATAAATTTAAAACAGGCATTCAGAACTGAAGCTGGGGCATTCATATTGGGTGTGACAGTGTCTCCATTGACTTGTGTTTATGCACTTATACAACATGAAAGCTAGAATCTGTAACAGTTCGAACCTGGTAAGTTCCTCTTTCACAACCCATGGTCACCATCTGCTTTAAGTCCTTCCTCATCCCCTAATATTTAGCCCTTATAGTTCTCTCTTCTGTATGATGTACTGTAGTCATATGTAAATGTGTTCACATATGTTCATATATCATTGTCCAGGCTACACATGTGAGGGAGAACATACAGTGCTTTTCTTTATATGATTAGGTGACCTCAGTTGATATATATTCTAAGTTCATCCATTTTTCTGTAAATTTCATAATTATACTTCTTTTAGAGCTAAATAGCATCTGTGTGTGAGTAATAAGCATAGACCTTTATATTTACCAAACTATCCATTAATATGTCCATGGACACCTATGTTGATTCATGTTCTTTACTGTTGTGAGGAAATAAACAATAAACATGGGGTACAAATATTCTATAGAGTGGTGAGAGGTTCCCTGAGCATCAGCCCAGGACTGAAATAGTGGGGACGCCGTGGAGACTTGTAGGGCCTGGGTCTGTCCCTGCTCCTGGGGTGCATCTTGAGGACAGTTTCTGGTCAGCCAGCTAAAACATCCTGTTTGTTCCTGTGCTCCCTCTGCCCCGCCTGGTGATTAGCTGGAGGGCATTGTTTCATCTTTGGTATAGCAATTTCCCACCTGCCTGGGGGAAAAATCCTTGTGCACAGCTCGGTCTATAAGGATTTCCCCAAAGTTGAATAAACGGCATTCGGCTGATCTCCTTTCGAATGACCCAGGTCTCTTGTGTTCTTCCAATCTCCAGGCCCTTGCCCTGAGGTACAGTGCCGTGAACTGTACCGAGGATAGTAACACAGAATCGGGTGTTACAGACATGCTTGTATTATACAGCGCACACACACTTCTTAGAGGAGAAAGAAATAATGAGGAAGAAGGGATTTCTCAACTGTTCATGCACACAATCATGAATGTGAAGTGTAATGAAAATACAGAGTCTGACGCGGCAGCTCTGGCTGAATTTGAGTTTCTGAGTTTATACAGAGCTCAGTAGTGATGCAATGACCGTGACAGGGGCCAGGAGATGGGTGACAGTTGCATCTATAGTAAATTATTTTTTCACCATCGACATGTAGAATAACTGTTATGAGTCTGTAAGGACAAACAAGTCTAGGAGTGTTAAGAGGCAATATTAAGTGACACACAAAATGAAACTAAAAAGTATGAAGCAATGTGTGCAGTGGTGATAAGAGTTTGAGCTGAATGAACAAGTGTGACGTAACTATATGATAAGCAGACATGTGTGTTAATCTAGAAGTAAGAAGGTAAAGCAGCCAGAAACAGTATAAAAACTTGAGGCTCACGGCCAGAAGACATTTTCTCAAAATGACTGGCCAGACACGCTGTCAGAAGCAGTCATGGAGAATCCAACGAACCAACAACTTCACAGCTAAGATCTTTCAAGAGCCAGAGTACCAGCTCTTG